TGTGGTGACAAGAGAGTTTCTCAGTTCCCCTTCAAAACAGTCTGGCGTTGCAAACCCTGGCATTTGAGAAGCCAACAGCTTTGTTTGGCATGGAGTGGAAACTGGTGCCTCCAGTGTGAGTTTGGAAAGAAAGAAGAACTAAACAGCAAAAAGGAATACACGAATATCTGCTTCCTTGCTACTGCTGCTGCCTTACTTTCCAAGCCTTCTTGTCTTCTGCACATTTTCCATCTGGCTTTTGTTGAGCAATGGTGAGTGGCTGTCTTCTTATAGCTACATGATTTCATAGTATTGAGTCATTACAGTGAAAGTAGTATCAAATCACATTAATTCTACAGTGTAGATTCACCCTAGGTTGGCCAGGACAGATGTAAGAGATTTGCATATTCTTATCAGCAGCCTGGATAGCTCATAACATATGGCTCATCTACAAAGGACTTTATCCCATGAGCAGAAGGAAAGTAGGGGAAAGCATTTGGAAGATTGGGGACTTGTCTTACCCTGGCAGGATCCATTCTTAGGGGATGGTCAGTCATCCCATGTCCTTTTCCTATTTTTTCCTGCTTTCCCCCAGCTTTCATCCTCTTTCTTCAATCAGGAATCAGTCTTTCCTCTGTTTTCACATTCTGGGAAGACAGATTCCCATGGGCAGCCAGAGGAAGTGGTGGTTTGTCATGGAATGGCCTGTGTGGGACTCCATTTTGTCAGCATGCGAAAAGGGAGAAAAAACTGGAGAAAACTTACATGGGATGAGATCAATAGACCATTTAGGTCAGTGTGATAGCCAATCAACCCTATGGCAGCTAAACCCCACACAGGGGCTGACCTGGCTAATGTGGTTTACCCCAGGTTAATTTAACTTGGGAGAAACCCCAAAACAGGATTCAGTTTGTCCCCTGACTTAGAGTGTTTCAAGTCAGCTGGGTCAATTCCTAACTGGAACCATCTGCAATTGTCTTGAGAACCACCCTGTGCTCCCTGTGCTCAGGCTATGTTAAAATCATCTGCTAGTATCTGGAATGAAGTAGATAAGGAGGGTTTATACTGTCATGGGAAACTCTAGGACTCTTTTTAAAATGAAAACAAGCCCTATTTTAAAGTTCTAGGTGGAAATGAATTATTTCTGGGCTAGAGCAAGACCTTAGTGGATTTTTGTGATGTCTTACCTTGTCCTTGAGACTTCCAGGGCCTATAAATTATCCATACAAGTGTACTGGCAGACATGTTTCCTGGAGCTGAACACAGTAATGTTGGAACACAGATGACCACAAGGATTTCTTCATTCTGTAAAGATGTACTGTACATAGCTATTTGATATATTCAATACATACTACTTCATTCATTCCTTTCAAGGACAGCTGAAATTATGGAATTCATTTCCGAACAACCGATATTAAAAGGAAGCTGTTTTACATTTGTTTCATTAGGAAAAAGATAAAGAAGTGGCAATTGTTAGCTAAGGTAAAAAAAAAAGGTTTTTAAAACGCAATAAAAATAATAGGTTTGAGCAAAAATGGAAATCTGACTGTATGTCATGAAAGAAAAAAGGACATTCACGACAGCAAAACAAATAGAAATGTCATCTCTTGAAGGTTACTTCATATTGTGCAGTGTTCGAGATTTGCAGATACAATCTTGAGATCCATTAGAAGTATACAATTATAGTACTATGACTCCACATAAATTGATAGTTACATTCCATGGAATCCTGAAATACACAGTTTATGGAGAGGCATTTAGATTTCTCAGGTAATGCCTCACCAAATCCCCGATGCAGCCATGGCAATTAAATTAGAATGAGCCCTTGGTTAATTCTTGGCTTTCCCACTTTTTCAACCGCTTTTAAAATGTCCTACTTTATCTCTCCTTTTTCTACTTTATTTTTTTGTCCCCTGCTTACATCAATTGCTACAAAGTGAATTCAAAATGCAAAAGTAATTTGCATCCAATTAATTCAATGGGAGACAGAAATGAAGAGGGACAGAGTTATGTACTTCCTTGTATGTGTATTTGAATTGTTTTTCTTTTTCAGACTTTCACAGTACATACATTTTAGTGTTTCTCTGCTTACAACAGTTATGTTGTGTGTTCTTCCCTATTAATAACTTTCTTGGACATCTTTTGTCCACATTCTATCCTAGTTATCATCTGTGAAATGTTGGAGAATATCCATGTATATGCCTTCAAGTCACATTTGATTTATAGCAACTTCATGAATTTAAATACTCAGAGATGTTTTTGCCAGTTCTTTCTCCAAAATATAATCCACACTATAATAATAAATAATAAACTTTATTTGTACCCCGCCACCATCTCCCTGAAGGGGACTCAGAGCAACTAACATGGGTCCAAGCTCAAAATTACAGTACAGCAAAATAAAATACAAAGAAGCAGAAAATACCATCAAAATAAATAGAGGAAATAACAAAATAAAACAAACAGTTACAAAATAACATGATACAGAAATTGAACAGAGTGGGCGGGCCAAATGCACTAGGATAAAATTGATAAAGCCCTGGATGAGATACGTAGTGAGAGAATGTTTTTTTCTGAGGGAGGAGCTCAAAAGGAATGAACAATGGGGTTAGACCTTCATTAAGTGCATCATGAGGACGGAACTGTAGTTGGAACAGACAAAATATGGAATATATGTGGTATATATGTTCACTCGCCACAGTATCTGGTATTTACTTGTAGTTTCCCATCCAAGTACTAACAAGAGCTGACCCTACATGGCTTCCAAATTAGGCAAGTTCTGGAGTCTTTAAGGAGCATATTTTGCTGTAAATGTTTAAGTTAATTGGTTTCAGCTTTTGCAAGAACCATGGATTTGGGGTCCAGTGTACCACCTAGATCCAAAGTTGGAATGAGACCTGAATTGGTTGAAGGCAAAGAAACAGAGAGCCCTTCCACACAGCCATATAACCCAGAATATCAAGGCAAAAAAATCCCACAATATCTGTTTTGAACTGGGTTATCTGAGTCATATATCCCAGTTCAAAGCACATAATGTAGGATTTTATTCAGCTGGGTGGAAGGGACCAGAGTCTTTATTCACTCTGGCCAAAGTGAATGCCAGCAGAGTCTGCACTCACAAAACTGACGTGAGGTAATGAAAACATACAGAAGCATTTATAGGACTATGACAGCAGTTTAAACCAAAGGCTTTTTGTGCTGACTGGGTCAGGCAGGGGCCAGCTAGGATCCACATGCTGGTTGGCCAAGACGAGCCATCTACCACTTTCATTGATTGGTTTATGGTCTGGTGGGAATTTTAATAAATGGTCAGTGCTCCGTTTGAGGATTTGTGGCTGCTTCTTGGTCCACTTCCAGAAAATGCATGGGGGAAAGGAATGTGGATAGAATTTGAGTGCTAATAGCATCATTCCTGTTTTCCTGTAGAGTAGGGCAATATCTGTAGAGTAGGACAATGGATCAGCTAAATAATGGTGGAAAGGGTGTTGCATGTTTTGAATGGGTTCCCAGGAAAAGGGTCTGGCAGAGAGCTGGGGAACTTGCATGACCTTTCAGTCTGAGTCCATTGCTAGATAATGTATCTAAATATTGTGAGGTATGTCTACTACCTGGATGAATGATGGGATTTGCCCTGAAATGTGTGTATGTGTTTATGTAACTTGGTAGATTCAGGCTTAAGGTTGCCTGCTGATGTTAGCTGAACTGAGTTTCTGGGGGAAAAGTCACCCATAGGCTCCATGTCTTGGTACAATGTGGGTATTGGAGATCCATTTTAGGGTCCTAGAGTTTCAAGAATAGTCAGGTACACACTTTTTATGTCTAACATATCCATAAATTCCTTTATTCATAGCTTGAAAATGTTTACAAAAATCATGAAAGCAAACCTTGATTTTGCCATTGTAAATAAGGGACACCATTTTACTATGCCATTGTATCCATGGGGGGAGGGCGAGCCCTGAAACCAATCCCCAATGGATACTACTGTGTACTGTATGCCAAAAAAATAAAAATACAAAGCATTTCTAGTCTGCCTTTCTCAGCCCTAAGGCGACTCAAAGTGGGCTACAGATTGGCTCAAGGGAGCTCTTTCTATGATGAGAAATAGTCTACGTTTTCCCCTGAGGGTGTTCTTGACAGACTCCTACACTGCCAAATAATCCAGATTTTCAGAGCAAATAATCTGGATTTTATGTGGCAGTGAAGAAGTGTCTCCAGACCAGCTGGTAGTTTCATTCCATTATATGTAGCTCCTTCACAGTTCCTTTATTTCCATGGATACTCGGGATACAGTGTTTGAATGCCGTACAAGTGAACCATTAACTGGTTTAAACATTCAAAGTTGCTGCAATTTTAGGGAGGGGTTTTGACTTTGGTACAGCATATTATAGGAATATTATTATTATTATTATTATTATTATTATTATTATTATTAATAGTGATCTTGAAAGGAAAGCAACACCGTTACCACTATGATTTGACATATAACATAGGAAATTATTATTTTCTTTGCAAGGACAAACAGAAGCAGATCATATTTTCTTACTCATTTATTAATTTGATTCACATCCAGAGTTTCTCTCAGATCTGACATTCAAGGCAACTTGTGCTTAAAACATTTGCAGAAAAAATGCCATGTGTTTGTATACTAAAACTCTAGCAAACCATTATTTTGAAACACAATTGAATGATGAGTTTTTAAACACACATGCCATTGGAAACCCCATCCTGAACAACTGATCAGTTCCCAAAAGCTTCCTGAATAAAATGGCATTTGCCATATGTCATATAAAGAGAGAAAATCTTTGCAGAAATCTAGAGAAACAAAAACAGCCTCCTCTCCTGTTAACACTCAGCAGCTGTGTTGCACAGGAAAATGTTTTACCAAACTGTAGAAATCTGAAATGCATCCAGCTCCTCCTGCCCTCACACATCCTTTTCTCTCTATTGGCTGGATAGTAAACTGGAGGTGGAACTTGCTTCTAACTACCTTCCCTGTTCCAACACAGTACAAGTAACAGCAGCAGGCAGGCTGGCATTGCACAGAAAACTGAGTACTATGTATGGCTTGAAATGATTTTTTTTAGAACTCATCAGCTGGAATTGAAAGCATTGTGGCTCCTCTTGAGGTTCGATTCTCACAGAGAATGGAAGTACTTCACCAAATTCCAGGCTATATGAAAGAGAAGCAGCACTCAGCTATACAATCTCAGAGGCTACAGGCGCATATGGCATTGAATGAGTCAACTCTGGCTGCAAAACATTGCATCTTTATCTTGCTTCTTGGAATCTGCTTTCCTGCCGTTGCATCCCATGTCACTGTTTGGAACAGCACCCTCTCATGAAAAATATATCCACAGATTCATTTAAAGAGGTGGAGACTGGAGAAAGAGAGGTGGATTTAATTCAAAAACTGACAAAAGGATTGTTAGCTCTTGAATCACTGCTTTTTGGAAGATGAACTTCACCTACCACTACGGGATTCACCAGCATCTCGACTTGTGGAACCACAGCTACAGACTACACGGTGGGGTCATGAACCGATCCCTGGGGAAGAGTTACTCTTCAGAAGGATGCTACGAGCAACTTTTTGTCTCACCGGAAGTATTTGTTACCCTTGGCTTTGTCAGCTTGTTAGAGAATGTCCTGGTGATCGTGGCTATAGCCAAGAACAAGAATTTGCATTCCCCGATGTATTTTTTCATTTGCAGCTTAGCTGTAGCAGACTTACTTGTGAGTGTCTCCAATGGGTCGGAAACTATCGTTATCACCCTCTTGAACAACACTGATGTGGGCGCCCACAGTTTCACGGTCAGCATTGACAATATTATTGACTCGGTGATCTGCAGCTCCTTGCTTGCCTCAATTTGTAGTCTGCTATCCATAGCTGTGGACAGGTACTTTACGATCTTCTATGCTCTCCAGTACCATAACATCATGACAGTCCGGCGCGTAGGTATCATTATCACCTGTATCTGGGCTGCTTGCACTGTTTCAGGCATCCTGTTCATCATATACTCCGACAGCAGCGTGGTCATCATTTGTCTCATCAGCATGTTCTTTACCATGCTAGTCCTCATGGCATCTCTCTATGTCCACATGTTCCTGCTGGCCCGGCTGCATATTAAAAAGATTGCCATTCTTCCTGGCACGGGACCCATCTGTCAACGGGCCAACATGAAGGGGGCAATCACTTTGACCATTTTGATTGGGGTTTTTGTGGTGTGCTGGGCCCCACTCTTCTTCCATTTGCTTTTCTACATCTCTTGCCCCCACAATCCATACTGCATCTGCTTCATGTCACATTTTCACCTGTACCTCATCCTTATCATGTGCAATTCCATTATCGATCCACTTATTTATGCCTTCCGGAGTCAAGAGCTGAGGAAAACCTTCAAAGAGATTATGTGCTGTTACAGCCTGCGAGAGCTGTGTGATTTCTCCAGCAAATACTGAATGGACACAGTGAAGCTCCTTTACTTATGCACCTTTTACAGAGGCTGACATTTCCTCCAGTGTTTCTAAGACTGTGGGCTAGATGGATGAGAAAGAACCCTGCTTTACTGGAATTATTAAATGTATTTCTCTGCTTTTATGCTTGTCAAGCCATCGAGTGTAATTATTTAAATGTTAAAGTGTTGCTCCTGCGTAAGATTAGGAATGTCTCTACAGACTGTTATTAAAGGAATATGTGCCCATATTTTCAAAACTGTGATATAGTTAGAACGATAATATTGAGGATTAAGCAAGAAAATATTGCCTTAATATATATTGCATGCATCACTGTTCTTTGCCTTGCTTTATTAAGCTACTTATGTTTGAAAGCAGGATATTTTTTTTTGCCTTGCACAAAGATATTTAACTTGAAATGTGATGAAAATATCATCTTTTCCACTGAGCTCAGGTGCTCCACAACTTTTTCATAAGCAGATGTGATAACTCCTGTCGGATTTCCTTCCTGGCTGGACCTACACTGAGTCCTCACTGCCATATGTTCCACTTCAAAGCACATAATCTGGATTTTATATGACAGCAAATAAAGGACCTCAGTTGTAATCATCACTGTATCTGGTGGAGAGGAGGTGGAATGGTTTTGTCACAGTACCAAGACATTTTTTTCATCCATCTCTGTTGTAATGTAATATATATTGATTTGGTGTTGAATGTGAAATCAAGACCCATTAACTTTACAAAAGACCTGCTACTGGAGGAGATAAAAGCTGGAAGAATTTGTTTGTTGATACAGAACAATATCATTATTTACAGTTTGCGAATCTCCTTGTGGACTATGGGAACTATTACAAGTGCCTCCACCTCTAAAGCTCTCATTAAACCACTGATAAACCACTGACAACTTGATGTAAAGGAAATAGCCCATGCTGAGCGAATATGAGAGAGAACTACAGTAGCTCTGTTGGATTAATTATGATTACTACGAGACTTGTTTGGGAAATTAGTATTTATGTATGAATTTATGAACATCATTCTCTCCTCACTCTCCATGGTCATGTTCACATTTATTCACAACCCTGAGAAACATAATTTATACTTCCTTTTAATAATATTTTTATTTAGGGATAGACAAGGAGAGGGGAAAACAAAAATGGGGGTAATTGGATTATACATTTAAAGTGGGGGAACAATACTATGTACAGAAAGCAAGAAAGAATTAAAATTTAAAAAGGAGAGAGAGAAAAAACAATTGATGACTTCCATCTAATCCTTTGTGGTTTAAAAACTTATTCTATCAAGAAAATAGCACACTTTCGATGTTTGAGGCACAAAAGCCAAGCTCTTGAATTTAATCTATTATTAAGTCCATTCTTCTACAATGTCCCTTTGGGAAAGAAGCAACTTTAAGTGCTTCTTTTTATTTTTTTCATTCTTTCATATTTCTCTATATGTGTCCAATTTGTCTGACCGGGCTTTCCAGGTTAGAAACATAATTTATACTTATTGACTTGCTCTTGGTCAATTTATTGTAGTGCCTTTCCACAAAATGCTCAAGATTGATGTGTGCCCCCATTTTAAATACAAAACTATGCTATTTGAAGTAATACTGCTGCTTTTAAATCCTAGGTAGAAGCAAAGCCAGGAATGAAAGCAGCAACACTCAGCTTAAAGTGCTCAGCTTTAAAAGCTAAATTAAAGTAGGTCCAAATTAATACGCTGCAGCAATCCTGGCCTTGGGAATCCAGATCGGTTATGAGTATCTAATTATGTTCTGATACAGAACCATCTTTTAAAAAGAAACACACATTAACCAAACACACACCATGGGTTTTTTAATATATATAATGAAAATGTTTATAACATATACTCCCTTCCTAGAACATTGAGTACAGCTAATGGGATGCATACCAGTCCTTACAGGAAAAAAAATATAATTACAGCCCAGTTGGATTTACAAAAAAAAAAATCATAATGCCACAAGAAGCAACAATAAAAACAAAAATGTGCACAACATCAATAAAGATACTGATCATCCAGGGTCCTTTAAAACCACACTATAATTCCACTTTATTCCTTTATTGGATTTGTGCCCCTCTTTTCTTTCAGGCCCCTTCCACACTGCCCCTATAGCCCAGGATCTGATCCCAGATTATCTTCATATCCCAGTGGAGATTCAGACTCCTTCCACACTGCTATATAATCCAGATGATCAAAGCAGTAATCTAGATTATCTGCTTTGAACTGGATTATGAGAGTCTACACTGCCATATAATCCCATTCAAAGCAGATAATCCGGATTTTATATCACAGTGTAGAAGAGGCCTCATATATTCCCGTTTAAAGCAGATAATCTAGGATCAGTTATTGAGTTATAGGGAGTGTAGAAGAGGCCACAGAGTGAGATTCAAAGTGGCTCTGCCTAGATCTACACTGCAATATAATCCTGTTCAAAGCGGATAATTTGGAGTTTATACAGCAGTATAGATGGGGCCTTAGATAAGAGGATGCTGTGACTTCTTTACCTATTGTCACTCTTTTTATCTGCTGTGGGCACTGATTATTTCATTAATTTATGCAATGTTGTTTACACATTCAAATCTTTTTATGTATTCCTGTTATATTGTTTTACTATTTTTATTATTAAATGTTACTGTGTTTATAATTGCAAACCATCTTGGGTGATTGCTTGTCCTGAATGGTAGTTTAAACACTTAAAGAAAAAATAAAATAAAAATGCTGTTGGTGGAATCATCACCATCATCACCATTGTTGTTACTTATTGGTGTCTTAGACGATGGTTGCGACTATGTGTTATAGGCAAATGGATTTGGTTTTCCCTGTTATAACCTGAAATTAACAGAATTTTCTATAGCTTGTCCTTGGAGAATGATTGGCTGCTCTAAAACTTGGCAATATAAAAGAATGTCAGGATGGAAAATGCCAAAATGTGGTGTGGAAATAGTAAGAAATGGCCAAGTGAAATGAACTTGAAGTTTGATGCATTATGTTCCTTTAAATACCTGTCCATCCACATACAGACCCTATGAATCTTATATGATTTTCTAAGGCAATAACTATTCAGGTGTATTTTTCATTGCTTTCCTATGAAATATAACTCACAGAACCTGGTATTCAGTCTCCCATTCAACTATCCACCAGACCTGGCTCTTCTTAGCTTCCAAGATCAAACGGACGACCTCTTATTATTTGTGTGCATTTCATTTTCTGTGTACTTGTCCAAAGTTAAGATTTTGCAGAAAACATTTCCCCATTTGCCCATCTTTCAGAAAACAATTTGATGGATTGAATCAGGGAGAAGGTCATGTATGACCTTTGTATAGTAAGAAGAAAACCAACAGTCTTAGTAGAAGAAAAAATGTTTACAGTTTTGTTAAAAAAAGCACTTTTGTGTCCCATTCTATTTTATGGACTTCTTTGTAAGCACAATACATGTTGTCTATCCAGTAGAATTCTTGTAGGAGGTAACAGGAGGAAACAGACAGAAGTGTGGTTGGGTATTACTATTCACTTGTACAGAAATCCACATAGACTCTGGACCAATGGAGAGCTTGTGTGTAAAAATAAGAAAGAAAGAAAGAAAGAAAGAAAGAAAGAAAGAAAGAAAGAAAGAAAGAAAGACCTACTCTATGGAAGAAGGTAGTATAACTCACCAAATCAAGATGAGGTAGTAGATGACGCTTTTCTGAAATAATCATCTGGAAACTCCCAAAACCAAGAACCAGTAGTTATGGGAGATTTCAATTATCTTAATACCTGCTGGGAAGCTAATTCTGAGCGTGACTTCTGTTGTTGTCACCCCCCTCCCCCAACATTAACTATGCTGTGTCGTAGACATTGTGACCCATCATCATTTGGAGTGGTATACATATTCCATTTTGAACCACTGAGGGAGGTCATTTATCTTGCCTAGTTTACTGTTGCTGGGGTGTAATTCTGGAAGGGAAATTCTTATCTTGATGCACAAAAATCAGTTATATTTATTATGATATTTAGAAAAATTGGAATGCATACTATTTCGGTAAAACTGCTCTTCTATTCAACATTAACTGGTGGCTTAGGGGCAGTGAATTTATGCTAGGTTTTTGTCCAGATATTTAAGAAGTTGCTAAACAATTCAAATTCATATTAAACCTGGGGTGGATTTACAGAGGGCATGTCTAGACAGTGCCAAAATCCACATTTTAAATGGGGAGTAAAAAATCTTGGGACCTGAGAACATGTCCCTATTTTCACCTGTTAGTCCCAGGATTGGGTCCCCCACCATCTTCACAGGCTTCCTCTGCATTGGAACAAGATGGAGGGTGGGCGGGGGACATCCGGTGGAATTTTTTACTGGACTGTATATGTGCACATGCAAATATCTTAATATAAATACAAGCAGAGTTGTATGTACATATATGAGGTCCGGCGCATAACAAAGTGAATAAACAAACCACTTACGCCAGATTTCACCCTTCCTTCAATTGTTTATTCCAGCTCTGTTTCAGAGAGTTATAATTACTTCCACTTGTGCTTTCCTTGCACCACTCATGTGTCCATTTGAAACGCCAATCCACTGATGAGCTGTTTCAGGCTTCTTAAAAGCACAAGTACACTGTAGCAGTCTTCACAAGGGGGAGGGAAGGAAATCACATGTTTTTTGTGAGCGCAGGGATGCACAGTGACGTCAATATGCATACTTTCCAGCTGGAATCAGGATATAAGTGGACCTTTTGAACACATGTTTTTTTTGTCTGTTGCAATGAATCAGTACGGATTTACCACTAGTATCATCTATCCCCCCCCCCTTTTAACTTGGTAACTTCTGCATTTTAGGTGCTGTGTAGTAGGGCCCCAAGCCACTAATATGAAAGACACTAGTTGTAACTATGGCATCCTTCTGCACGGCCATAAAAATCCACATAGACTCCACATATTCCCAGATTACCAAAGCAGATAATCCATATCATCTGCTTTGAATGGGATTATATGGCAGTGTAGACTAATACAATCCAGTTCAAAGCAGATTATGTGGATTATCTGCTTTGGTAATCTGGAATATAAGGAATCATAGAAAAGGCCTGGATTTATTTTGTGCACCACTTCCTCCTCATTCATCAAGAGCTTTCCAAAGATTTTTTCTTTCCCCTCTTTCCCTAATATGTTTGAGCCCCGTCCAAAATCATATTATGACATCATTAAAGCTGAACTAGCATATAATTAAAGGAAAATGCATTCTGATGATCAGCACAATAATTTCAAATAGCATATGATTGAAGAAAATGCATTTTAATGAATACAAAAATTGTTTTAAAAGCAAGCATTTATTCCTGAGAAAAAATATGTAGCATTCTATTTTCCAAAAGAAATTTAAAAGTTCACATTTAGATCTCAGAAATTATATAGTGCACTACATGATCATTTCTAAAATTATCTAATTTTTGCAATTGTTAGGACTTGAAAGATGTGACAGTACCAGGATGACTGAAGTATAACTTCTGTAGTATTAATCTCCCACCAGCCCATTCCCTTGATTTACACTTTGTGCAAATAAGAACATAGATGCATAGCAACCAAATGTTCATATGTAGTGATGAAGACATAACATTTGATACAGATATTCTTGTTCTTTTTCTATTTTTGTTCTAAAGTAAATGCATCTGTATACACAAAGAAGTATTTGTACATACGTTTACCATGAGATTTTAGAAAATGGCAAGGAACATTTAAAATTATGATACCAATTACATTTACCATTCTATAATTTTGAAAAAATCACAAGAAATCACCTGAAGTGTAATAAAACATCAAAAGGGTAAAAGTCTCATTATTAAACCTCAAAATTGTCCTGTTATATATCTGCCAAAAAGTAGAGTGGTCTACCAGCATCTACCAACACATTTCCACTACCCAGACAGCCACCTCTCCACAAAAGTTGATGTCAACATTGGAATAAAACATCTTTTGAGTTCTGTGAATGCAGCATTTTTTTTGAATGAAGCAGAGATTGTTTGAAGATTGGGACATTCATAGGGATACCAAGATGCTTGTTTATAAAGCTATTGTCCTCCCAATCCTGTTATATGCCTGCAAATTGTGGACTGTCTACAAACATCACTCTCAACTTCTGGAAATATTCCATCAGCGTTGCCTTTAAAAAAAACTTGCAAATCTCTTGGGAAGAGGCAAACATTAGCGTTCTGAAGAAGCAAAGACCACCAGCATTGAAGTGATGATTTTTCGCCATCACTGGGCCAGCCATGTTGTCCAAATGCCTGATCACTGTCTCCCAAAGCAGTTAGATTACTCTCGGCTCAAGAAAAAAATGGAATGTCAGTGGATAGCATCCAGCCTATACTTAAAAGCTTCCAAAGAAGGAGCCTCCACCACACTCCGGAGCAGAGAGTTGCACTGATAAATAGCTCTCATGGTTAGGAAGTTCTTCCTCATGTTCAGGTGGAATCTCCTTTCCTGTAGTTTGAAGCCACTGCTCCGTGTCCTTTTCTCCAGGGCACAAGAAAACAAGCTTGCTCCCTTCTCCATATGACTTCTCCTCACATATTTATACATGGGATCAGCTCTGGGATCATATCCCGGAATATAAAGTCTTTCTGGAAGAACCTTCACAGATGTTGCCAGTAGGCATGTGTGATCCATGGTTCTAAATGGTTCTAAAGTACTTACAAAACTAGGGGCTCTGGTGGTTTGTTTCTAAAGCATTTCTAAAGTGTTTGTAAAGTGTTGGTGGTGAAAATTTCATTTTAAATGGCAGTTCCTGATTGGTTCTGTCATAAAAACATGGCAAATATATTACTATCTCCAGCATGTACCAACAAACACCATCCAGGAAGACCAGCAACCAATACATGATGTCTGTCCTGCTTTTATACTCATCCACATGATGCAATACTAGATTCACAGTTTCATCATTCACTACATGAATGATGAAATACACTTGTTTTAACCTACTGAATCAGCAATTTATCACCTGGCTATGCCTCTATCTTTTATCAAATACTAACAAAATCATGAATTTTCAAAATTCATATTTAAATTAGTTTAGCCAGCTCCCCTCTTTGATATATGGACCACACTTAGCTACAACATTTATTTTGTAGCACTTGGATTAGATTTTGAATGAAACTATTCCATGAATGAATGGAAAAATAAATGCCACAGCACAGAAGGACCTCTCAAATCCTTTTGCCCTTTGTAACCCTCAGGGCCCTTCCAGGCAGGCCCTATATCCCAAGAGCTAATCCCAAATTTTCTGTTTATCCCAGATTATCTAGCAGTGGGGACTCATATAATCCAGTTTAAAGCACAAAACCTGGGATCAGATCCTGATATATAGGGCCTGTCTGAAAGGGTCCTCACAGATGTTGCCAGATATGTAGAGGGATTATTTCTTCATCTGGTAGTGATTGTTAAATAGAGTTATACATAATACGAGGGGTATTTTTGAAGTAAGGTCCGTTTGAACATAAGTACACAACGAAAGTTTATTTCAAAAAAGTAAATTTATTTTTCAGAAAGTATATACTTCACTCTATTTTTGACATAGTTGCCAAGTTTGTTCAAACACTTATCATACCTCTGAACCAATTTTAAAATACCTTCTTCATAAAAACTTGCCGCCTGCTCCGATAACCAAGAGTTCACTGTAATC